TGTCATCACGTTCTATTAGTTCTACAGCTTCAGTTTCGGAACTTTCACGATTAGTAACACATACAGCTGTTCCCTCACCACAGTGCAACAGTGAAAAGGGACTTCTTTAAAACAGTGTCGCATTCCGAACGTTGTTTAAGCGACGTACACCGGTATTGCGGTATTTTAAAAATTCATATCATAACAAAAATAAACACCGGTATTCGGTATGAACCGGTATACCGCCCAGCACTAATTTCACGCATCTCAACAATTTTCAATAGGGTATATGTCGAATATCACCTGACCAAACCCGGAAAACAGGTCTCATTGCTTCCGCTTGTTGGAGAATGTGTTATTTTATTCAATTTTTATATCTAAATGTGAAAAGAATAAAAATAAACAAAACTTTTAGACATCAGTCCGCATATGTGATGGACATTGGTTATGATCATCATTGGTATCTACTTTGAAGGCATCTTGAGTAAAACTGCTTCATATTTAACTAAGCATATGCAAAACGCTTGAACCGGAAGCAACGAGACCCGGTTAACAGAATATGGAAGTCTGTTGCGCATAACCTCTATTGCACATGTACTGTTCATGTCATAATAAACAGCTCAAAACTTTATAGTCAAGGTCAATTTTAAACATACACTGTAAACAAATGTACACTTTTGATTCAGAAAGGATGTTTTAACTGTGAAAATAAAAAAGAGAGCAACCGTCTTTGTTTTTATGGCAAACATTGAGTTACAAATCAATGTGCCTTTTTTTTTTTTACAAAAGAAAAAAAAAATCACCTTTCTTTTCCACCTTGTTTCTCTGTTTGATGCATCTTGTCCACAAACTCAGAAAATTTCATCTCTATTCGACGAGATTTGGGCACAAAATCCTGAAAGTTTGCCATCTTCTTCTCGTCATAATACAAGAATTTGTGATTTTCTGCTATGTAAACAGAGAAGTCCCCATTTCCAATGTTCTCTTGCAAGTAGGGTATGTCCCATTTTAGAGCTGGATATACTAAACTGGTGTCTGTTAATACAACAGGCTCCTACAAAAGAAAAAAAGGCATCAAAAAATTTACTATTTAGAAGATTAATCATAGTCACACATAATTGTTTTAAAAACAACAGATGAATGAAGTGCTATTTTGGGTGAGTCATTCAAGTAGTTTCTCTTCATCATTCTGTAAGCGCAATCACCTTTAACTTTGCTGTATGTTTCCTGTAGCACAAAACACACTACCACACTCATGGTTGCATTCAAACGCAAATATTTAGACTACAGCTTAAATACTAGTTTAAACCGAACTGCAAAAATACGGTCCAAGTCGTGCAGCCGCAGCGACCCCTCCAAGGCTCGCAGTTTATTTGACACAGAATTATCCTGATGCTGCAGCATGAAAAAAAAAAGTGACAAGTGCTACGTGACCAGAAGAACGTAGACTGTTCCAGCACGCGCACTGAACAGTCCACGCTCTCGCGCTCCGCTGCAGCTACACTTACAGGAACAAACCACCATGCAGCGCCACAGAGCTTTAAATGTAAATTACTATTTTATACATGATATTAAATTATAATTATTAAATAACTTAGTATTCAGAAGTGTTCCTGATCTCATAATTATTATTATATATATAAAATAAATATTATAAATTATAAACATTTCATATGTATATTACATTCTTACAAATAAAATTATACTTTATTAATTCATTCTAAAAGAATTAAAACGTACGGTCTCGTAAACAGCTCAAATTGTTCACTGTCACTGTTTACACGAGACAGCAGTCAACACAACATGAACAACGTGCTTTGACTGATCTCATTATAACCCACTACCACAGTAGTTTTTGTGTACAGATTAAGACTTTGATTATACTTTCATTTATATTAGATATTTTTTCTACTTTTTTTTACTTTTCCTTTCTGTTTGGTTCAGGAACCCCTCCCTAGGCCGTGTTAAAACACTATACATGTTTATACTTCTGATCTATCATTAAATCATAGAAATAAATGCTATAAATAATATTATAACATCTAGATAAAACGCTAACAAACTGTTTTAGAAAATGCACTATTTACATTTAACGTTACGATATCTTACTGAGATAATGTACCGTAAACTTTTCACTTTATGCAGAAATTATACATACCGACCCGTTTACTAATTTTCTACATTTAAAACATAACTTAACATGACAGTTACAAAACGATCTATGTTGTAACTAAGGAATAAACTTATTTATAACTAATTTATTACTGATCAGATTTGTCTGCTTATCGGGATCTGACGTACTTAAAGGATCTCCGATCAAACACATCAAGGAGTTTCAGCAATAATCCCAGCACGATCTATGATTCTTTATTAGACAAAAGGCGTTTAATAGCCTGCTGTTTGAGTTTGGTTAAATCATCATTTCATTTTAGGGCACCTTGCACCCATCCGAACGAAACTCCACTAACGTTACCCCATCTGTCGCACTCTAATAAGATGCAGGATAAATCTGCAAACATACCTCGTTATTGATGAGGACCTCAGCACGCGGATCTGTATGGGATAGTCGCGGTATCTGTCGGGTTGGAAAAGTATATTGTCGAAGCTGCGATTCATTCCAGCCTGTGTCGCGTAGATCCGTAAAGGCGGCGGCGGCGGCGGCAGCTCCATCGGTCTCTGCCGGGTCCGCCTCAGCCACGGTCGCGGCTGCCATGTCCTCTAAGTGTGCCAGAGGACTGCTGTTACTTCACAATAAAGTTGCACGAGGGTGTACGGCACAGCCGTTAAGCAGAGAGAGGAGCAGCGAGCGCTCCCGTCCTTCCACACACGCCGCAGAAACGCGAAGAGCCGAGTTGAGCGACCCGCGCAGTCATACTAGCAGCATGAAAACAGACACACTGGCGACGCTTTCTTAACACCCACCGGAAGTGGGGTTTTTTTTTAATTCAAAATAAAAGTATTTAAACCTTTGGACGCTGGTGTTTATGAATGAATTAGTGGGTGAGCAATAAGACCGGAAGTGGGGTTTTTTTTTAATTCAAAATAAAAGTATTTAAACGTTTGGACGCTGGTGTTTATGAATGAATTAGTGGGTGAGCAATAAGGAAACTATTACAAATATGTCAATCTTCAAAATATTTCGCAAAATAAAGCCAATAGGGTAATCAGGAATCGGACGTGAAACGGAAGACACGAGCACAGCTGACAGTTATGCAGAAAACTATGAACAACGGTCATCAAGTAGGCAAGACAACACAGGTGATTGGGTAAAAAACAACTAATAATACTTCCTCAGTTGATTTATCATAGTACATTAAGACAATAGTTTTGTATTACACATTTTCTGAAATGTGTTCAAATATGCAAATGAGCACCATCTAATTAAAGCAGCACTACGTAACTTTTGGCGCTCTAGCGGTTAGTAAACAGAACTGCACACATCCCGCGGAAGAACATTCCAACCAGAGCTACTTCTGTAAGTTTATGTCTATGGCGATTCACCCAGGTATGTGTTACTCCGCAGCGGTGACGACCCGACCAGGCTACAGTAGTCCAAATATAAGTACTTATTATAAGTGTACCGTAGTGATTCGGAATAAGACAAAAACGCGGTTTGGAAGATGAATTCATGATGTACTCGCTCATTATATACATTTTGCAAATTTTTAACACAGAAAAAGTTACATAGTGCTGCTTTAAATGTAAGCCTACACTAATTTTCATACATTTCCAAAACAGAAATCTGAACAGGTTCGAAATTCTTGTTTCATTTCACATGCAAATTATAATATTAAAACACTTTTACCACTCCAGAAAATCCGAAAATACCATAGTCCCCAGAAAAAAAACAGAGTGCGGATTGAACAGTAGATGGGGATATTGGACAACTGACTACTATTCGTGGTCGGCCATAAGTGACGTGACATGTGGCCAAGTATGGTTACCCATACTAGGAATTAGTGCTATGCATTTATCCCATCCTAAGTGCACACACACAGCAGTGAACACACACACCGTGAACACACACCCGGAGCAGTGGGCAGCCATTTATGCTGCGGCGCCCGGGGAGCAGTTGGGGATTTGGTGGGCACCTCAGACTCAAGGGCACCTCAGTCGTGGTATTGAAGGTGGAAGAGAGCGCTGTACATTCACTCCCCCCACCTACAATTCCTGCCGGAATTGCCTGAGCCTGAGATTCGAACTCGCAACCTTTGTGTTATGAATCCGACTCTCTAACCATTAGGCCACGACTTCCCCAATTTCCCCAATAAAGCATCCATTGTAAGGGGCTACGAATATTCAAGTAGATTCATTCTAGTTACCCGAATGTGTTTTTATTATCTCACTATGCAATGAAGAGAAACGCTTTCTTATTAAGCTACATAGAAATACATCTAAGTGAAAATACTACTCTAGAACATATTATCACCTGGATTATTGGGAACCTTCAGAAACACCAGCAGGCCCAAATATGCTAGCACTATTGTAAATAAACCCCAAAACTTCCAGGTAATGTGATGAACACTAGATGCTTTACAAAAATTATTTTGAAAAACACATAATCCATGATTCGTTATATATTTTCCGTTGAACACAAATATTTTGGAAAATGTATCAGTGTTTTGCATACTTGAGTAAATGATGACATAATTTTCATAATTAGATGAACTGTACCTTTAAGAGTATCTGTAATCAAATCACCTGTCACTGCTTCTTCTTGTGACAGAAGGGTCATTTGTATGCTGTGTTAAAGTGACACAAAGTAACCTTTTCAAACTGTGTTAACTTAAATCTATTTTTTCTTTCACTTTTCCCTTGAGCCTTCACAGACGCTTTTCTTGTAAAATACACAGGTAACCTCCGGAGGGCGCCAAAACTCGTCCGGGAAAATCAAGCTGTGTATAAAACATGCTTAATTTTTGTTTTGGCCTAGTCTGAATATAAGACACGACGGATGTATTTTCCTTTTGAGGTGTAATAGTTTTTTAAGTATAATTAATGTTAACCATAGATCCTATTTTGCTCTTTATAAATTACTTTATAAAGTAAAAAAAAATAAAAAAAATATATATATATATATATAAG